ATGACTGACAGACAGATAGACCAGGAGACTTACCCGCCATACTCCGAGACCTACAGTAGACCTACTAAGGTACTGTATATAACTGCCAAAATGATGAAAGCAATGTCATGCTCCACATTCAATTAATTCTACAGTACTACAGAGAACCATGCATTTAAACCAAACAGGATGCATCATAATCGTCAGAAAACCATTTCGAATTGCCATTTATTCTCAATGTTCCTCGGCGATCGGCTTGCAATGATATATATCAGTTTTGTATTATTACTGGGTTTGCGGTATTTCACAGATTTTTTTTCACTATTATATGCTACAGTACAACTAAATACCATATATTGCAATATATGTAAATTAGCAGTCAATTTATAGGATTACAATAGAAAAATGAACGGATAAGCTTATGCGGATACTACTTTGAAAGGTCAATACCATCAGCATTATAGTTTACTATTGGAGTATATATACAATATTTTAGATTATTAACAAACTTGGATTATTAAATGTGTTTTGATGTGAACACGGCCCAGTGCTGCCTACTTTTAATAAACATTTGAATGGTAATACTACTTTCTTTCAACGGTTAGTAGAAGACAGTTAAAATTGTTTTGGGACACTTAGCAGAAAAGGAAGGTTTGTAAAACATGGCGCTCACAGGACGCATATACTGTAAGGCAAGCAGAGAAAGGCAAAAGGCAACGTACTTGATCAAGAGGACAACAAATTTAGGGAGAAAACATGAGGAAGCAGACATTTTTAATAAAGGTTAAAAATAAAAGAAAGAGCTGATCTTAATCGCCCACTTCCCACCGTACACCATTTTATAATTATGTGAAGCCCTTAGAGGCTTTGTGCAAAAAGCGCTATATAAGGACATTATTATAATATTATTATTATTATTATTATTATTATTATTATTATTATTATATTAATTTTTTTTATTTATTATGGGTTTTTTTTCACGTACTTCATACATATATTGGTGTCATTACTATTTACAACCCATAATCGTTTCAAGTGAGAACACATGATATCTAGTACATAAACTACGATTCTGTTTACTTTCTTCGTCGTTTATATAATGTGTCGTATATATCATCAAAAACCAAGATTTTCCCTTATATGTGAATGGCACAATTTGTTCACATTGAACTTTACTCCTATTTTCCAAAATAGTAACAAAGCCGCTAGGCCTATATGATGATCCTGTGTCGTGTTTTACGGGTCTCAGGCGGATCACCTTGTCATTGTTTTTGTCTTGTTCCAGATGCCACAATCCCTCCAATGTTGACCTATCTTGCATCTGCGATGAAGATACTTCGGCGTTGGATGCTGATGTTTCAGCCACCTTTGTTAATTTACTTCCAGATGACTGTCTATTGGACTTGGTGACTTTCTTTGCAAATGTGACAAGTGATCTCCGTTTCTTTACCTTTTCCGAAGACTCTTCCTTTGAATCTCCCCGTTCTTCGTTAATTGGCGTTATTTGTTCTTCGCCTTCCTGTTTATTTGTTTTTGATGATTCTTCTTTTATTGTAATTTCTGTTGATTCCTCTTTATCGCCTAATAATGCATTTGTTTCTGGTGAGACTTCTTCCATTGCATTTTCCGTTAACTTATCATTATTTATTGAGGGTATTTCATTTGTGTGTACCATTTCGTATTTTTGTGTTGATGCACTAGTCGACGACTCTCCTGAGTAGAATGACAGTGCATTAGCGAACATGGCACCTACTTTGCCGAACATTCTCCTATTCTGTACATTTTTAATTGACACTTCTGGATCTTCGGATGATTCTTCCTCTTGTGGTACTGAAGTTTCCATAATATTATCCATGGATGAAGCACAAACTAACGATCCATCAATAATTGCGAAACTCACTATGGGTATTTTAATGTTAACTTCCTGAAATATGTCAATGAATATAATTAGAACCTTATTGGTATTATCGATAAATTTATAGTCAATGTTGTGAAAGAATTTAGGTTATAAACATAGTTGTATTCTGCTTTTGACTTACTTTAGTAATGTTTGTGAACGTTGTGCAATAATTATTACTTTGCCCTTTGTATAAGACCTTTTCGGAATCTAAAGATGATATAATCACAACTATTCTTTTTCCATTGCCTATTTCTGTCACCTGAAATGTAATAATATTAATAATAATAATAATAATAATAATAATAATAATAATAATAATAATAATAATAATAATAAGTTGCTATAAATTGCAAAAAAAATGCTTTTATGCGCTTAACAATAACAAAAAAGGACTTAAAACAAAAAATGATAATCAATATAGTAGAAATTAGGTGTGGTGGAAAAAAGTGCACGGTCAGAGTGCGGCCAAAATATTAAATAAAAATCGTGACAAAGTGAAAAAAGTGATTTATGATTTAGAAAAAAAAAGTTTTTTTGAGCAAGGCCTTAAAGGACTCAACTGAGTCAGTACAATGAATATGGAGAGGAAGTTCATTCCAAAGCCTAAAACCTACAGATGGAAAGGCTCTATGGACATAGGTAGTGGTTGAAGTCTTTGGTATTTGTAAAAGCATTTTAGATAATGATCTTAGTGAGCGTGATGGACGGTAATTTTCGATTCTACGTTATTCTTTACGTAATAAGACAAACTTGGTTCAGGATTATTACACCTTTTATTTTTACATAGTACTGATTGTGGTTGTTATCATTGTTCTTACTATTTATAATGAAATTGTAATTACTGACAGAAAAATGCAAAACGAAAATAAAAACTGTCAAGGGTCACCATCAACCATTAATTTAATTAATTAAGTAATTAATTGGATTGGATTGGATTGGATTTATTCAGTAGTTGATAGCCCACGAAAGCCTAGAAGAAGATTTATTTCCAGTGGAATCTTTCTGGTGGTGATTGTGCAGTACCCCCGGGAGATACAACTCCCTGCTCTTTTCCGAATAGTGTACTGCGTTCTTTAACGTGCAAATGGGCCATAAATGCACACTGGACCAACGGCTTAAACGTCTCATCCCAAAGACGGTGCGCTACTGTAACTTGTAATTTCAGCCCTCAGCTGAAACACAAGGAGAGGCAGCGATGGGAATTGGACAGGCGAATTGAACAGGGGAATTAACTAAATTAACTTGACCTAGCTTGTTTAATTTGAACCCATTTGCTCAGAGTTGGTAGTCGTATCGTAGTAGTAATAGCACCGCTGGCAGTGGTATAATTAGTAGTGTTATTAGTAGTAGCAGTAATAGTGGTGACGGTAGTGGTATTGTTAGAGACTCTCAGGTCCAGATATTTGTAGGAGAGGGTGCATAAAGAAGGGAATTGCTGTATTAAAAACATATGTTTGAATGACTGGGGGAACCGTCTTCTGTCTTATCACCCTCCTATCTTTTGAGAGACTTAAAATCCAACAATAATATTAGCATGAAAATTATTCTCATAAATGACTCCCTTTCCAAACCACCCCCCCCCCCCCAAAAAAAATGCTGACTATTTACCCAACATCTGTACACCGTTTTGCTAGCTATAACGCACTCTAACATGTTAAGTGTGGTGGTGGTGGTGGGAGGGGCGAGGAGAGCTGTCTGGACGTTAACGACCATCACCCCTATGGATCCACTCAAGAGTATCATTTAAATAAACATTCTTTGAAGCCAAGTCAGCCAAATGCTGCAAATATTGCCGTATAAACAAAATATTCTCAAGCATAATATTGAATACTACTACGTCTGCTAATTTTAGAAAAACCACTGGAAATGAAAGTCAAATTACCTTTTGAATAAAGAACGAGCCAATAATAATTTTGTTTATGATGTTAAAGCAAGTAAGATAGGCCAACTGGTAAAGGGTAAAAACGGATTATACAATACATGCTAAAATGTGTTGGATTTAACATTCCTTATTCGTCAGAAATTGATTTATTTTTGTTATTAACATAGTCACTTTATATTACATTTTATCCCATTATATTTAGTGAAAATATACGCGTTTGTATCAACCGACAACCGCACTGACTGAAGTGTTACGTTCCACTTTATTATCCTACATACTGAATACTCCGCTGGTCCTTTCCCTGTATTGTACTAACGTAATTTGAATAATGAATTCTCATCATGTGTTATCTTTGTAGAGTCACAAATTTATTGTAAAAGTATTTTTATGATATTTGAATGGATATAAATAGGAACTCAAAGTATGCCAATAATTTAAAAGAATGGTTCTACAATATATTTCTTCCAGAGCTGTGCACGCGTCTGGACAGAGAAATTCTGTCATTACTTAAATTAGTATATGATAGTCGGTCATAATCATAGAAATAACAGTAGTACCTAGTAGTAAGTTGTAAGAATTTCTTTAGTAATGGTAAAATAGTAACACTGTATGTATAGGTAGCTTACCTGTATCCGCATATTTTTCTCAGCTTCTTCAATCTTCAGATTTTCTCCTAAATTCCAATGAATTTCGTCATCTGTCCACATGATAAACGGTTCATATTCTTAACGAACACGAAAAGGGAAAAACACAAATTTGTTAAATATTTTAAATTCTATGGCAACAAGTTGGGAAGTACCGTATTAAAAAAAATATTAAACGTAATAAAATAATTCTGACCACAAAATAGGAACAAATAAAATGGGTATCGAAAGGGGGGAAATTTACTTACTGATTATACGATATCAGTCATAGAAGACGAGTTAATAAACTTGGATTTTGGTGGGAGAAGTAACAAGTTTTTCGTCCCTATATATCACACATTATAGGCCTACATCAATACAACAGTCGAAATAGTAAGGGAATGGCCGAATGAGGGTAAAAGGCTATTGATGTTGTTTTCTATTTCAAGCAATAGGAACATATTCACATTTTAAAGAAGTATCGGTGACGTCACAAGAGCTACAAGTGAAATATAAACTGAAATGTACAATATGTATTGTAATTTAATATGTATATGTCTGTAAATCGGCATATGTATGTATTTATTAGATATGTAGATATGATTTATTTACGTGTGTATGTTTGTTTATAATGTGTATGTAAAAGCTAATATTAATGGATTTGTATGAATAATTAATAAAACAGACCTATAACTTATAAACTTTGTTTGCTTACCATATGCTTGGTTTTCAACATCGTCGAGTTTACCGCTAGAAGTCGTAGAGCCAGTAAACTTTAATTCATCCATTCTTTTCCCCTTCTGATATCCTTAATTTGAAATACGTACAGTCACATGATTATAAAAAAATATACTGCGTTTTGAAATAAAAACACGTTTATACTTGTACGTAATAACAGTCACGTCTATTTATTAAATTACATTTTAACGTATTATGTACAAGAGGTATACAGGTACAACAGACTCCTTATAAAATGGTTTAAATATAATTTGTATGATTAACATGTACTGGTGTAATTGCTGTGATAATTCAGTTTTATTGGCTAATACGTTCTTGTACTTGTTTATTTATGTATTTAATAACACAATTTATCAATATTATACAATTAGGTAGCAATGTTTTGTATTAAATTTGCAGTAGTAGAAAGGTATAATATTTCTATATACTGTACTATTGTCACACATTACGATAATGACCACAAATACAGACACGTTAAAGCTTTCTTTTTGTTACTCGTGTCACACCAACACTTATTTATTAGGTATTTTTTTTTTTGGTGGTTAGGATCAAATCAATTAGTTCTTTTAAAAGAGCATAGTGATGTATTGTCAAAGGGGGTTCCATAGTTTGCTCCATAACACATTACCTAATGTGTTGCGAGTAGATTTAAATGGTACCGTAGATTTTCAAAATTATATCCGTCTTTATTTAATATTTGTATTCGTGTAGCATAGTATGCTGGGAATGATTAACAGAGGATCAAATCTTAAAACCTACAATTGATGTAAAACTTTTCATCATTTTATTTTGTAAGCCTTTAGTATAGCATGACCATCGAAAAATGCATATCTTTAGCTAAGACTGAAGACACTACTATAGAAATCAATATGCTTATCAAAATTATACTTGCCACGCGTTATCCAGCCACCGACGATAATTCGTCCATTTGATAGCTTTTTACCGCTATGAGGATCTATAATAGATGACGGTAAAATGAGAAATGAGAAATATAAATTAAAGAAAAAAAATATTCGCTACTCATTCTCATCATCCTCAGCAATCCCTTCAACATAGTCATCAGCACCAGCAACTGGTAGGCTTAAATTTTACTCAAATACCTATCGTGATCTGTATCATTAAAAAAAAAAGTAACTGTGAAACTATACTGTTTGTACTAATTTGGGGCATGTCAATAAACTGTAAAACACTCCTTTTCTATTCAAATGCCTAGGTCTACCTTTTTCGATGATAATTGATCTGATTAGTAACAACACTAGGCCTACACATCAGCAGTGGCGTATTTATGAGAGCATTGGTAAACTAGGGGTACACGCCTCTTAAACAGCAATTGGCCGTAGCCCCTCCCCCGGCCGGCCCTCCCTCACCGCTGGAATTTGGATGAGCAAAAAAAATCACTACATATCGCACTATTTTGTCAGCTAGCGTTCCTCATCTAATTATCTGACACCACCACTTATATGTTCGTCCCCATCAGTCCTAACGAATTGCGAAGTTACACCACGAGCACCACCAATATCATCAGGGCCACCAACATCATCATTATCACCCCCACCGCAACAACCTCATTAGGCCTAGGCCAAAGGTTTACTAAAATATCCTGTTGTTATATTAGCAAATTTTCTGCAAAAAAAAGGTGAGTGTGAGGTCCATTCACGGATAGGTGAGAAAACTGTAAACAAACGATAAGCCTATCTATTCAAAGTGATCTGAGGATCATTATTATTTTTACTAAAATTTGTTTTTGTGTTATCATTATCTAAACTTTCTTTTCTTATGCTAACAACTCACCAAATTTTAAAATCTCAACAGGTCCCTTGGATTCCAATGTCTCAACGATGTTCTTAATTAAATTAAAGCTTCCGTCTGGCAGGAAAGAAAACACCTTCCCTAGCAATCGTCTGTCTTTAGATACATTTATAAATCCAAGGAAGATATACGAATGATACCGACCTGGTAGTGCAACGAAGCTCAACAACTCTTCTCTGAAAGATCAGCGGGGGATTTAGAGTAATTTTTGTCAAAGCTTATCAGAAAATCACCATGCTAAATGTTAAAAATCAATCAAAGACAAACTCAAATTAAAATTATGGTGCAAGAGGTTTAAAGGGGATTTACCCTTTCCACCCCTACCAGGGGCTCATCCATAAGGCTATTCAATTCGCACATTCACGTCCCTTTTTCTAACGGGCTATGATCCACCCCTGCAGATGTAAACAATTTCAATTTAGTTATTACATTCTATCACATTGATAAATTATAATTCAATAAACATTGGCGAAGTCGGTGTTAGCTCGCCCCCTCGGCAGCAACCAAATACCTCAACCACGTATGAAAACATTCAACAAAGCACATATCCCTCTGGTCCCAAATAGGTAATAGATCCCCCACAACCCTTAATTCTCAGACTAAAAGACCGCAATTGCTGTTTGTCTATCCATTCCCGGAAAATTATTTGGTCAGGTTATAAACACAACAAACCCTCCATAGGACTATAACTACACATGACCTTGCAATGATGGCCTTCTACAGCTTTTGCAAGATATACCGAATAAATGTATATTACATCTTACTCTGGTTTCAGTAAAACTTTGGAAAAATCGTTCCATCTAATAGTAATGTTGTTGTCTTCAGAATGAAGTTTTCCTGCACACGTAATATAGCGTAAAATTGTTTTATCTTCTCTTTGTTCTTTTTTTTCTTTTTCCATTTTTAGCGCAAATGCATACACTTGATCACTGAGGACAATTCCAATTGGACTGAAAATAATAATAATAATAATAATAATGAACTAGTGAATCATCAAAGACTCTATTTTCACGGAGTTGGATTAAAATTGTTTACAAGAATATAAAATACATACGCAAAACAGAAAAAATTAAAAAAAAAACTCAAGAATCGATCACAAAAATAATAAAAATAAAACAAATAACAAGGGTAAAAAAAGACAATTAGGCCTATAATCATTTATGCAATTAAATAAATTATTTTTCTAACTTATTTTAAAACTATAACTAAATACCAAAAGGCACACCAATACATAAATAAAATGATTCATTTTTAAGTTAATTATTATTTAATTTATTGCAAATTAATAATAAGTTAATAATTAAGTAAAAAATAAATGTGTTACTGGAACTAAATCATGAAGACAATTCTCACGTAGTTTATTTTACTTCCAATTGCAAAAGTTGTCTATACATTATGCGTTATATAAACTCATAATTCGTTTTCACTACCCATGTGTAATATTTATTGTAGGCCTGTTGAAAATTTTAACATTATTGTTGCTTAGAATGCAATTGAACAAAAAAATCGAAGTTTTAAAACAATTCCTTGTTTTGATTTGCTTTTTTCATGATGTTGAAAATACAAATATAGGATCATGCTTGGTATGTGTGAGCTTGTAGCCTATGCAATCCAAGTTTTGGCATGGCCTGCTAGGCACCTTATTTAACGGAGACTCGTCGATTACAGATATGGTAGATTGATTGTAAACAGAAAAAGAAAAACGCCCTTGCCCTTTTAAAATTGGTTGAGATGTGACGCTAAACAAGTATTTTTTTCGCGCCGCACCTTTAGGCTGTCTATCAAGAGGAAACAGTCATTAAGAAACTGTAGGATAGCGGTAACTTTTACTACGAAGTAATTGAAATTGAGAACTAATCAATGCACATGCGCAATTACCAAATAACCTCAAGGAATTATCCAGTGAGAATGCGCTTGACTAGACAGCCAGTGAGCATGTGCATTGAGTAAGTGACGTTATCGAACCATTTCTAGTATGCGCAGTTACCAAAAGAGTCTCAGGAACTGCGGCTGCGAAGAGCGTATGAAATAGAAACGAATCGAACATTATAATTTATGCAACAATTAAGCATGTGCAACTCAGCTAAAGCGATCAGGTTACGGATGGAAAATAATTAGAACTCGAGCGGGTGAATCTTTACAGACAGTTCATCAGTGTTCATCAGGGGATTTGTAATTAAATTATAGCAAAGAAAAAAAAAAGGTTTATAAGGATCTACTGTCGTACATACTTAGACCTATGCATTGACAATCCCATAAAAAATAACCACAGAAAATGACAACACAACCTAGCGCCTACTATTAGCCAAGTTAGAGCCAGGGTATTCCACATTTATTGTGTCGAAAAATACGGTGCCGTACGCTGGGTTAGGGTGGGTTAACTATTATTGAAATATCGTGCGGTACCCATGCTTTATCGACCCATTAAAAAATACCACACACTGGCTGCAGTAGTAGAAGGGATAAGCTAAGCTAGTGGGGGAGGGGGATGAATACAAATAAATAAAATAATAATAATAATAATAATAATAATAATAATAATAATAATAATAATAATAATAATAATAATAATAATATTATTATTATTATTATTATTATTATTATTATTATTAACATTAATCAAAATAATCAAAATTAATTAAGTATTATATTAAAAAAATACAAATGGAAGAATTGAGGCAATCAATACGGTAAATTATATGCCATGTCATAACAAAATTCACACATATTATAAATTTAGAATTAGTTTTATAAACAAATTGAATAAGGTAAAGATGTTGCGGGTTTTTTTTTTGTTTTTTTTTTAACAGGCATTTCTTGTTTAATTTGGCCTAATGGATAGCAATATAACAGTACAGCTAATCAAACCACAATCTCACCTGATGAACTGTTTCTTGTCTACGTTGCTCCTGTAAACGGGATCTAAATAAAGAAATAATATAATATTTATAAATAAGGTTATATACGGCTTATATACGTGGAAGCGGTTGGCGTAATGGTTGTGCCTCAAATTCAGAAACTTTTGTCATTTGTGTAATTGGTCAAGGCAATATCTGCATTGCTTCTCTCCACCCAGAAGTATAAGTGGGTACCTGAGGAGGTTGCTTAATGCGCTAATATATTTCATGCTATAGAATGTTGATATTTTTCATACTACCGTATGGAATTTCCGCATACGTTCCAGTGACGTGGATTCCCTACCTCAAGATCAGGGGTTCGAAACTCTCGCTGTAGAAGTCTCTTGTGTCCTTAAGCAAGGCATTTTACCTACGTTGTCTCTATCTACCCAGTATAAATGGGTACCTGTAGGATGTTGTACCATTGAATGCACTAGTTTCGTGCGCTAAGACTAGACTATAGCACACGACTAGGCATACACTCCAGGGAGCAGAGAAGGTTGCACTTTGTGCTTGTTTGCCATTGTATGTTATCCAATGACCAATAGTAATACCACTCAGCGCCTTTGATCTATCATATCATTTGAAATTGGCGCTATATAATTATTCAAGCATTATTATTATTGACAGAAGTAATTATGCAGGAACGCAATCTTGAGTCTTAGTTGTGCGTAGAGCGCGCTATATAAAAAGGGATAGACTTATACTGTATTACACTGTTTTATGATTGGGAATGTAGCATCAAAGTAAAATGATAAAGCATTGTTTAATTGAACTACATAAATTTCACTGTGGTTGTGCGGGCTGTATGGTTACCTACTTCAGGCTGACTTACTTGAGAGTTGAATGCACGTTTTTCCAAAAAATGTGTGTTTTATATATGGTAGCGCACCAGACTGACGTTTCTCGTGTTTTATCTGCAGTAAGTATACATATTGTCCTTCAACGTCATCAGTTACGTCTTTAAATGTAAGGTATCCATCTCCAGCTGCACCATTTTCAATAAGTCCCTTTAATTCGAATGTAAATTCGACTGGTCCATGGCTGTCATTAACATTACAGTTCCCTTTTATTTTATCTTTCAATTTTTTGTGAGGTGGATAAAGTCTCCTTAAAATGTTTTCTGGCCAAGCACGTGATAGTAATAATATAGTACAAAACGGATAATTGTCTCCCGGCATTTTTTTGAAACATACATGATTTGATTTATAATTTGATTTAAAAGATGCTTCGATGCACTCTCCTCTTGCCACCGTTATCTCTTTATCGTGTTCGAAATCAAGAGCTTCTTCATATTCTGATTTTGCAAAGTCTGCCAAGCACAAAAATATACATTTATATTTTTAATTACCGTATGTATACCATAATTATCGAAAAATATAATATAATATATAATCATTCTAAATATAGTATTATTAATTATTTATTAAGGCAAAAGATACGATTTACAAAATATAATGAAAATTAAAAAAATGAAGCAAACACAACATTAACAAGTCATTAAATAAACCATTAGCTGCCAGGAAAGCACAAAATGCAGTCTAAACCACTGCCACCAAAGGCTGTAGTACATCACAAGATGTGTATAAGAGACAGGCTATAGTGTTGTTTGGCACTGTCAACAATCATATTTAAACTGAAATATGGAAAACCGTTCATTTTACCTCTTTTTAGATAAGCCATTGTTTTAAAATCATCCAGTGCTCGTTCTGCATTTATCTCATTTTTCTGATCCTTTTTGATTAGCATGTTATTTATCTGGAAAAAACAAAATTACTTAAATTGCCTGAATTGTGAAATACAGTTTTAATTTCAATGAATGCATTGCTAGAAAGAATACCAGTATAACGTTCCACTGTGATAATGTGCACTGATTAATATAATATAATAATAAAGGTTATGTCGCCGGACAGCATCTCATATGTTCATATAAAGACATCATTCTAATGTACTGTTTTGACACTCTACACTTGGAATTAAAATGGTTACAGGGGCTGCACCAGCGGGGGCTTTGGGGTCGGACAGACCTGGACCCTCCTTTCCTCCGACGCACGACTGGGTCGTCAGACCAAAAATAAAAAATAAATAAATAAATAATTTGCCTATGCAATAACGTCAAAATATTGTCATTCGTCTTGTGTGTGTGCTTCTATTATATACATGTTACATGTAGTAGGCTACTCTCGTAAAACATACACTTTCTATTTTAAGCTTAACCTCTTTTCAGATGTCATCCAAGAGCGTCTAGCCTTCTACTAATTCTAAAAATCTCAAATGGAAGGGGATGCCTCTCCCTAAACCCATGATCAGGGGGGTGGGCAGGGGCACGTCCTCAAATATTTTTAAAGAGGTGGGGTTGGTCCTCTCATCACTTATCGTCCGCAATGTAATAATTTCGTAAGTCAAAGAGATGCCTGAACATTGTTGAAAATAACTGCATAAATGACCGACAGTGTGCTGTACAACCGGTACTCTATCTCTTCCAATAAACATCCGAATTACTTACAATACACGACTCAAGTGCGCGTGCCTTTATTATAATTTGAAAAGTATGAGAAAAAGCGTGTAATGATAAGATTGGCTTTCGGCACATGGTGAAATAAATTAAAAATACATTAAATACAATTGAGTTTTATTTTCAATGGAACACCACAGGGAATAATTTGATCGATGATGATGAATGTTATTATAATTAAGAGTGTCATTTCCGGTAATCTTAGAGAGGTACTGTTGCCGAAATCACAGACCCTGGAAATGTTCCCTCCCCAGCCTTTAACTATGGTGTGGACTAATGGCTTTGAAGTAGGTAGGTCTAAATCAAATACATAATCTACAATGTTTTTAATATTTATTTTCTGTAGTACATCACACATATTTATTAGATATCTCTATGGTTGCCAAACATCGCTGGTAAAAGATCATGAGAAATTTGTTGGGCTTCATTTTGACTATTTATTATAATGGTGACGTGAAGACAGTGAATATAAAAGTATAATTTCCGATCATCTAGAGCTACTATTTCCTAAAATGTTCGCACCTCAGGCCAAACAATGGTGGGCCTGAGGTGGGTACGGGTTTCGAAAATCGCATTATCCACTTAACTTCATTTTACATCATGGGAGATTTGCAAAGTGGTGAAGCTGTGTCCATTCCAGAGGAATCCCTGCCCCCACCCAAAAAATAAAAAAAAATAAATAAAAATAAAAATAAATCCTGTAGTTTCATTCAGTATTGTACTCAGTATAATTTCTCATTTGTATGTCTTTCTTATTTACGTGCTGTTTGATTGCTTTTGTTTTTCAAGTTTTGTACATTTCCTTTTTGTATTTTAATGTTGTAATGTGTTCTGCTTTCTTATTTTGATTAATTTAACTGGAGTATTTTTAATATTTTAAATATTATTTAATATTATTAGGCTTACATAACATTTTTATGTAGATTTCAATTTTCCCTTAAATTTGCAATAAAGTTATTTTGAACCTTGAATCTTAAAGTAAAATGGTTAAAATATCAAGGCACTCAAGTAAAAAAAATGCATGTACATAAGACGAGGCTTAGCTTAAGGAGTGCCCTGGTTCCTAGGCCTGACACAACAGTCACGGTTCGCATGCCATTGACTAAAAATTTGAAGGAAAAAAAATAATAAAACATGATATTAAAATGGGACAGTGAGTAAAAAAATAAATATAATAAATTAAATATATCACTCTGACACTAATCTACTTGGCCTAGCATTGAAACTCCCTGCCTTAATTTTTAGTAATTCTCTTCTCGGCCCAAATCAACTCGGCCTCAAGTCACACAGCATAATATTGAAAGCCTTCATAATAAATTCATGACCTTGAAAAATTAGGTCAAAATGTCAAAAATTGTATTTTTTAGTCACATAAAATTATTGGCATATCATTTTAAAATATTACAATGAATGTGATTTCAACTGACTTGTGTAGGAATACATACTAGTATAACACCAAAACAAAGTTAGAGGTAGGACAGTGGGAAAATTACGTTTTGGGGTTAAAGGTCAATGATCAACCTAAAACACTAAAATATGTATCTTGGGAACACTCTATGATATAATATGGTTGATTTTGGTGTCAAAATGCACTGCCCAAGTATAAATTCCAGTTGGGAGGACCAGTTTGAAATGCCAACTGGTCCGATTGGTTTCCATCTAGTCCAATTGGAATTTCAACTGGTGCAACTGGAATTTCAACTGGTACAGCTGGTCTTCGCAAATGAGTTTAACTGGTCCAACTGTTCTATCCAACTGGTTCAACTGGTCCAATTGGTTTTAGCAACTGGTTCAGCTGGTCTATTCAAGAGGTCAAGTTGGTCCTACTGGTCTATTAAATAGGTCCAGTTAGTTCAACTGGGGCCAACAGGTCTAGTTAGTCCAACTAGTCTACCCAATAGGTCCAACTGGTTTTACCCAATTTGGTTACATAGTTGCAACTGATCAAACAAGTTTAAACTGCTAATTAGTCTACTTAATGCATTCATTTATTCGTTAACTTATTTTTAAATCTGCCTAGGCCTAGTAGTATAAAATTCTTTTATCTTAGACGAAAGCGGCTTTTCCCTTACAAATATTACCAATTCATTTTAATTGGAAATTGAACTGGATTCAATATGAGTCAATTGGATTGTAATTGAAATTTAAATTAGATTCAATTGGTTCCAATTGAGAAAAATATTTCAATTGGAATTTTTGAAAAAAAAAATCCTATTGAAATCAATTGGATATGTCCAATAGGATTTTTTTTTATAAATGCAAGTGGAATCAATCGCATGACAAATTAAGACCGATTAAAAATTGAAAAAATCCAATTGGACAATTAATCTCCAACTGGGATTTAAAAAAAAAATCCAATTCGATAACAAATACCAATTGAACTTCAAAAACAAATCCAATTGGAACAAATTTGATAACTGACTTCCAATTGGATTATAAATATCCAATTGGATTTTTTACTTAATCCAATTGGATAACAAATATCCAATCGGATTGCCTTTAAATTCCAACTACTATCCAATTGGGTTGTTTTTTATCCAATTGGAAGAGAGATGTATCTGATTGGAATGTTTTTAAATTCCAATTGAATAACAAATATCCAATTAGATTGTCTTTAAATTCCAATTGAATAACAATTATCCTTTTGGATTGTCCGTCCGTCCATTTATTTATTTATTCCGGTAAGCATTTACAACAAATAATAATGAACAGTAAAGAAGTATAAAAATAAAGGCAAATTAATACCTGCACTGATAATGAGGGTTCTTTATATTATTTTCTTAGTTTTTGCATTTTTCTGTGCATTTTGCTACCAAAATCAACCATATAATTATCAGAGAGTGTTCCCAAGATACATATTTTAGTTTTTTAGGTTGGGTCAATGACCTTTAACCCCAAAAACGTAATTTTCCCACCCTTCTATACCCCTAACCTTGTTTTGGTGTTATCCTAGTATGTATTCCTACACAAGTCAGTTAAAATCACATTTACTGTAATATTTTAAAGCGATATATGCCAATTTAGTGACTAAAAATACAATTTTTGACATTTTGACATTTGACCTAATTTTTCAAGGTCATGAATTAATTATGAAGGCGTTCAATGATATTTTTTTTATTTGTTGTATAATCCTGTGCATTTTGACACCAAGATAAACCATATGCCATAGAGTGTTCCAGAGATACATGTTTTAGTATTTTAGACCTTACACCGTTAATTTCAATGAATTGTGAGTGGTTATTAGGTATGAAATGAACCATTTTAAAGCAAGATTGGAAATGCCAAAGCAAAATGAAGACGATCAATCAGTATTTGTTGATCGACGGTGTCAAAAGCAGCCGATAAGTCAAGCATCACAAGAGCAACTGCTTGCTTTTGATCCATGGCAACCATGATGTCATTGAGTATTCTGACGAAGGCAGTCTTAGTGCAATGATTCACTTTATAGGCAGATTGAAAGCGGTCCAAGAGGTTAAAATTTACAAGGTAGGAGATTAACTGGAAAGACACCACCCTCTTAATGAGTTTGGCTTGAAAAGGTAAGTTAGAGATAGGTCTGAGATTTGGCAGTTTATTATGGTCAAGTGATGGATTTTTTAAGATCGGATTAATAAAACGATTAAAACTGGGTAGGAAAAAATACCAAAGATGGATTGATAAGTGCAGTAAGAATAGTAAGAAAAGCATCCTTCGTTACATGATTTTAAAAGTGTGGTTGGAATGGGATCAAGAAAACAGAACGCAGATGAAGAAGATGCGATAAGCTATTTAACACAAGCCGGGTCAACAAGATTAAATGAGCAAAAAGTGTAAGAACACAAGGTGGGGTATTGTTAGCATGAGTTTGCCGGTTATAACGAATAGCAACTATCTTATCATGAAAGAAATTGGAAAACAGTTCAGTAAGTTGAGGAATAGTGGAATGTAATGAAAGTGCTTGGTTAGTGGTACATTTAAATAAATTTCCAACAACATTAACCTTTACTCTTTGAACGCTCCTTCTGAATATAAATAAGAAGCCTATATATGAATCTGTATAACATATGTTTATATAACTTACGATGTCATCAAAACGATGTTTATTTTTTGGACGCTTCTTCAAGAAATATACAACTGCACCTAATATGAAAATGGGAATAATGATGAACACCATCCAAATCTTAGAACTGGACGACGGAGGCGGACTTGCTTCTGTAACAAGATTACGATGTTCATTAATATTAAATAAGCAAATATATTAATTAATTGATAAAGTTCACACTTAACAGAATAAATCCTGAGAAAACATAAAACAACATTATTGTTACTAGTATTATATCAGATAAATAAATCCATGAGTTGCAATACATTTATAACAAAGTCAGTTATTTAACTTAAGCCAGTCACTCACTTCGCACGACGGCCGTCTGCCGACGCGACTTTATGAAGAACGCAACGCGACGACGCACACGCAACGGATAGTTTTTAATGACGATCCGTTCAGACTGCTACCGACAATCAGCAGACGGTGTTGCGTCGTCTATCGCTCACAGGTACCGTCGTACGACGCAGTGAGTGCCCGGCATTAAGATATTGTAGAATAATTTAAACTAATTAATATAATATTAATATTAAATAAATTAGGAAAATCAATGATACAATTATAATTTGTATAGTTCTATTTTTATATATCATTTTAAAAATAATTAAGTACGTTGTAAAAATTGAATTGCATTTCCTTTGCTATGCATTATTTTAATATAATCGTAGCAATAAAATTTACCTTTCAATATAGGTGTAACTNATTTACATGTAGGTTGTCTGCAACCTGTCTCTTATACACATCTAGATGTGTATAAGAGACAGTATATATACCTGTATATATATATTCCTTTTTATATTATTAATTTGAATAAATTAATTAATTTAATGACGATGATTACTATAATCATTAACATCATTTTTTTAAATAATATCCCATTTTAACATAAATTCAATTTGCAGTCTATGCAATATTTTTTTGTTTAGGCCTACCTGTCAGTAAACTGAATACAACTGAATTGCTGTATTTCCCGTTTTTCCCGGCAAAGAATTTGTTTTCAACCCTACAACTGTAGTTTCCTTCATAACTTTGATCGAATGCATTTATCATTAATACGTTTATTTCGTCTTTGAAAATGTATTTGCTGGAATCCCTGTCTATGATGTTACCCTCATGGAACCACGTGATCATATCCAATTCCGATGAAGAGTATGTTTTACATAACATAGATACTTTTGTATTTTTAATGATATTCTCGTCGCTTAATGCCGTGATTGTAGGGTTATCAAGATCTATCGATAAAAACCATAACAGTAATCTATTAATCTGATAGGAATGAAATGGATTTAATTTAAAATTTCCAACATAAATCAAACTAAATAATGCGATAAATAAGAAAAATACCTAAAGAGTTTCCGGGCCAAGACAACGAAATATGTTTAGGGATACTAATAATCTCATTAAAATTTGTGTTGTGGGCTCTTTGAGTACATTTTAAAGCACCATAGGAGACATTCCGGAATCGTGAGAAGAAAATCATGGAGTTCGAAAAACTATCCAAGGCAGACGCCTTTATAAATAATTGCAAAAATGCGTTTTCCCGAAATTTACATGAATAAAATTAATAATAGTAATAATATTATCATTATTAATATTATTATTCTGTGGCAGTGTCGATAGAAAACAACAGCTCTTCCCAAACTGCGGAATGCCAATATCCTCAGCAGAAATTAAATTATCATAGCAATAATCACTTACAGTTTACTATTAGCTTACAGTCATCAGTTGATTCTCTAGACTGGTCGTTCACTCCACACGTATATGTTCCCTTGTCCCATCTCAATATATTTTTAATAACCAAGCTAACATTCCCGGACGTTGCGTCACCCAGTGAATACCTAGAGTTTGGATCTGGTGGGTCGCCTGATCTTATAATGACACTTTCATTCGTCTTCCAATACCACTTGCCGATAACGGCGTCGGTTGGTGAGTAGAAGCAAGGCAAGATGGCTCTGTCCCCTTCATTTACATGTAGGTTGTCTGCAACAATGTCATAAATAATTTGGCCCGCTATAAATCAAATATAACAATAAAATAAAATGTATATATA